CCCCCCCTGCACTGCCTCCCGGTCCCGGGCGTGCCGCGCATGTGCGCAGGGCGACACCGAGTACATCGTGGCCGGTGTCTACCTCATTGAAATGCGCGCGGTCGAGGATAGCTTCGTGTCGCTGCAGATCGCCCCGGCCGCAGGGCCGAAGGACACCGACGCGCCCATGGACACCGGGTCCGACAGCGACGATCCCTTCCTCTCGGAGGACGAGGAGCAGGGGCCCGGCGGCCGCCGGCGCGGCGGCAGCTCCCAGCTCCCCTCCTCCGTGTACTATGTGCCGACCAAGCACAAGATTTTGCTCAGCCGCGCGCGCGAGGATTCCCTCCTCGGCAGTGGGTCGTCCATGTCCGGGTCCTCCATGCACACGGACCTCCCGCCGTATGGCTTCCCGGATCGGGTGTGGCTCCAGCGCCCGAGCGGGCAGGCTTCCGCCCAGGCGCAGCAGTAGTCCCCTCCATCCCCCTGCTGCTGTCGCTGCTGCTGCTGCCCCCTGTATGATGGGATGCCTTCAGCCCCCCCCCTCCTTCTGATCTCTCACTGTCCAGGGCCATGCGCCCGCGCGCACTCTGTGCACCTGTGTATGTGCTGCTTCTCGTGGGAAGCCCCCCCCCCCCCCCCCCGCTGCTCGCCGCCGCGATTCTCGGGGGAGAATAAAAAAGGCGAATATCATTGCCCGCTTTTCCTTGTGATGGTGTCCGCCTCTCGGCCGGACGCGCGGACGGCGGGCGGGCGTTAGATGCGGCTGCACGCCCCCCCCCCCCGGGGCCGTTGAGAATGCCCACCATCGGCACCTTGCGTGGGCACGCCTTGTTATGGAGCACGTGCCGTCATTTAGGATGTGGCCCTTCGGCGGCACCTGGTTCCCGCGCAGGGGGTGTGCGCGAGAGTGGGCACCGGTGCACGTCCGTTGGCGGGTACCGGTACTTCATCGGGCTCCGACTAGCTGGCCGCCAGGTGGGGATTGCGCACCTCACACAACCAATCTCTCTCTCCCCCCCCCCCCTCCCTTTCCTCCTCTTCCTTTCCTTCCTTCACCTCTGCGTCGGCTTCTGCTTATCCCTCCATCCGCTGGTGACGCCGCCGTTGTTGTTGCTGCTGCTGTTGCTGCTTTTGCCGCCGCCGCCGCCGCCATTCCCAGCCGGCAGGCGCCTGTCACCCCCCCTTCCCTGGTCTCCGGATTTACCTTCCTCCATCTCCTCTGAGCTGGTCGTTTCCCTGTTCTGTGCTTTTCTCTTGTGTGCGTACGTGTGTGTGTGTGTGTGTGTGTGCGGCCCCTCTTCCCCACTGCTGACTCCCGCTCGCTCGCCTGCTTTCTGCGTCGCTGGGCATCGCCCCTTCGATGCAGGGCCCCTCGCGCGCGGGCACCCCCTCCGCCTTGGGTTCCCCCCCTCCTCGACCCGTTCCTCCGTGTCCCCTTCCCGTCGGGCGGCCGACTCGTCCCCTGTCGCAGGCCACGGGAATGTCCCTGATGCTCGAACACTCGCCGAGCACCCTCATGTCGGCGACCGGCGCCGGAGCGCCTACGGCGCCGGTCGATCTTCCGACCGCCGGGGCCGTGGCATCGTCCCTGTCGGACGTGGTGCCGCTGCTGACGTCGGCCGAGCCGGCGGCCACGGCCGGGCCCGGGCCCGAGGGCGCGGCCCCCCTGCACGCGGAGCTCGAGCACCGGTCGCAGTTCCTTCGTCTGCATGTGGATCTGGCCACCGGGGTGCTGTCCGGATCGACGATCATCGAGCTGCGCGTCCTGGCCCCGGCGGCCGACCCGGTCCCGGGGGTGAGTGCCCCCTCGGCGACGACGGCCACGGCGGCCCCGGGGTCCGGCCCGGGCACAGCCCCGGACGTCGGTGCGCCTGCCGGCCCCGAGACGCCGGCCGGCCCTGGGGTGTCGTCCCCCGCGGCGGGCCCGGGGTCGGGGCCGGCCGCTGTGCTGCCGGCAGCTCCCGCCCTGGCGGCCGATGGGCTGCCCATCTTCTCGTCGGTGCAGCCATCGCTGAACTTGCATTGCGGGGCCGGCTTGCAAATCGACGGGGTCACCTGCCTGGTGACCAGCCCGGGAGCGCGGCCGACCCTTTGGTGTGATCTCCCCCGGCGGCCGGTGGCGCCGAAGCTGCCGACATCGGTGTCCGGCGGGCCGGTGGCGGCTCCGACCGGGGCCGGCGGGCCGGCCGGCGCGCCCCCATCGCCGCCGGCGTCGGATGGCCCGGACGTCGTGGCCTCGCCGGCCGCGAGCACGGAGGCCCCGACGGCCGGCGGCCCCGGCGATCGGCCCTCCACGGGCACCGACTCGGACATGGCGGTCGACGTGCCGCCCGGGGCGCCGGCCACCCCGGCCTCGGACGAGCTGGACCCCGGCCCGGAGGCCTCGCCGGCTGACTGGCACTGGGACACGGACGACATCGTGGACCTGGCCAAGGCCACCGAGGCCGGGCACCCGGATGAGGTTCTCTTCGGCCAGTGCCGCATGCTCCGTTGGCCGACCGGATTCCTGTGCGTGGCCCCTCTTGCTTGCGCTTGTGCCTTGCCGTCGCCGCGCCCGCGGCGCCGGGATGAGGGGCCTGCCCTTTCCCGGGCCCGGGGGCCAATATCCTTTCGCTCTCTCTCTCTCTCTCTCTCTCCCTCTCTCCCCTTACCGACGATGTCATTCTCACCGCCCATGTACGGGGATAGCCTGCGAGCGCCTGCCTCGGCTCCGACGCCGGAGGACGTGGTCCGGTCGCTGACCGGGCAGAATGCCCTGTCGGTCTTGTCGCCGGAGTTTTACGGGCAGGATTTCGACCTGGAGGTCCCCTTTCCCCGGCAGGCGGCCGAGTTCCTGCTGCGTGGTGAGCTGCCGGCGGCCGGGCCCTCTGGCAGTGCCCCGGGCCCGGGCACCCCCCGGCGGGCCTTCCGGTCGCTCTACATCAAGATCGACTTCCGGGTGCTGGCCAGCGGCAGCATGCCGGAAGCCAGCGCCTCCGGCAGTCTGATGGCCGCGCGCTGCCCGCAAGGGGGCCACATCACACACATCTACACCAGTAG